CACACACACACACACACACACACACACACACACACACACACACACACACCTTAAGAAGCTGGTAGGATGTAATTCTGCACCGGGGATGGGGAGGAGAACACACTGGGAGCAGGGAAAGAGCAGAGAAACTCGGTTTGTGAATGAATAATTCTATAAAGAACGCCGGCAGCAGGACATAGATCATAATGTGGACACTGACTTCCCTTCAAACATGGACCCAGTCGCAGTAAACAGATGGCAAGTGCATGTCTTCCAGAAAAGTTTTCCAGCATTGCAACAAGTCAATGGTAAATAATCCTCTTTTTTTTTTTTTTTTTTTTTTACTTTTCTAGCTTTCTTAATTGTTATAAATGAGTGTCCTCCTCAGTTTTGTCACTGTTTGCTCCCGGCAGAAGTCTTTCAAAGTAGCAGTCCAGACTGTGGAGCTGGCAGTGTCTATTTTCAGCAGCTCATAGCAGCTCTGCAGGGTATAGCTGCCCCCGTAATGACAGGTTGCAGAGCAGGGCCCTGCATTTGGAAGCATTAAAACTGCTCTCCAGCCTGGGTGTGTTCGCTCAAATCACTGAGGTTTGTCAGGAATATGAGTGTGAGGCAGACAGACACATTACCCTGCCCGCTCTCCAGTCCTGTGTCTGAGTCTCAAAGAGGGCCCGTGTTGACAGGCTGACAGAGGAGGCGTCAGGGCTCCGGTGTCACAGCAGAACAGAGGGAACGCTCTGTTCTCCGTGACGCCGGCTCCTCCGGGGCTCACACTCCAAACACGATTGTAAGATATGTGCGGTATCGACCCCGCCACCCTCGTCTGGAGTGACATCAGACGCCAGCTGATGAACGCCCCCTTTGTCTCGTGAACTAAACTTAGAGAACACAGAAGCCCGAGGATGGTTTTGGAATATTTTAGTTGGAGTTTGAATAGATAAGTGGGAAGAACAAACCTCTAGGTTGAGGCATGACAATGAAAGTCTAATAGTTTCTTTAAGGGGGATAATGACTGACATTAAAACACCCAGATTACTATTTATCTGCTGTTCTGTTGTCTCTGTTGTGGGTTTTGATTTGCTACTCCTCCCTCAGCTTTAGAGAATCTCTTACAAAAAGTACAATAAAACATGTATCAATGAGGTTAGGTGTGTTACTTTTGGTAACTGTAGACAAACTTTATAAAACATTTCCCTCATACACATCAATCTGGACAAAACCCCCTCATTGACGCTGATATACTTAACAGAAAAAATGTCTTTGGACGTTTATACGGGTCACAGAAAGTTGGACTTGACATGACTCAACTGGAACTTTGAAACATTTAATGGTCTTTATACATTTAAGAGTTATGATTTTGAAAGATTTAAACCCGAAATGCCCAATTTTGAGCGATGATGTCACACACTAATTTTGAGTTGCCTAAATAAAAAAAAACCCTCTTATTGCCACAATCTTTACACTTCAAATACAATTCGTACATCAAATGCAGGGATTTTGTCATCTTAAATCAGTGGTGGGCAACACTTTTTCTTATAGGGTCAAATCAGGATATGGAAAGAAATCAAAGCACCACAAAAAAAAAAATGTCAATGCATTTTCCTGAAGACAGATAACTTCTTCTTGTATCATGGTTAGCATACTCGCAATACTCTTTAGGAAATAAAACATACTTTCTCTAAATTGGCTCTTGTGACAATAAATTTGCCAAAACGTAGAACAAAAACAATTATATGTTTGATTTTTGGCGTCTTTAAAGTTTAGTTCTAGAAACACAACTACTTAAAAAGTTTCAGCCTAGCTTAATTCAAAGGTTTTAATGTATTTGTCTAAGATGTTGAATTTAAACTTCTTTAGGTTCATTTGATATAGTACAGGGTTTTATCAATTTACTTAAAAAGTTGTTTTCTTTTCAATTAAGAACAGACAAGGGGCCACATATTGCCTTGTCTGTTTTAAATTATAACAAAAGGAAGTCTCACATTATTGATAGGTTTCATGGAAGAACATTAATGTTGGAGTTTTGGATAATATTGGCCCTACTCAAGATTTTTCCAGAAATGTGACAAGATATTTAAAAAAACAATATATTGTGATGAAACATGCATCTTTATAGAAGGAGGCTGCACCAAAACTCTTCAGCTTTGATGCTTTGGAGCTCTTCTCTGAAATATAAATTAACATTTGGACATTATCTGCAATCCACGTTTTATTCTGAGGGCAGACAAAACAGACATGTTGTGTCTAATCTGGGACCTAGAGATGACGGTGATAGTGAAAGACAGAAAGCTGTGTTGCATCATCTGTTCCTGTGTGAGTGTTCCTGGCGTGGCAGCAGCGCCGCTGTTTTTGTCCTGTCTGATGTGGACGTGACCGACTAGACAGCTGAATCAAATCTGTCTGCAGACCTGGTGTGTTTATAGGATCTGTGCAAGAGTCACAGCATGGTCAGAGGAGGCAGCCATGACACCTGATGTTTCAAAGCACCTGACGAGCTCGTTCACACTCGACTCAAAACTCAGAACTGTGATATTCATATTCTGTGAATGCTAACTGTGACTGTCTTTTAAATTTCAGTCTGCCTTTTGATTCTTTTAACTCTTCGCTAGCCTCTTGGGCGGCTGTGGCTGAGTGGTTAGAGCAGTCGTCCTCCAATCCAAGAGCTGGGGGTTCAATTCCACCAACAGTCACATGCTGAAGTGTCCCTGGGAAAGACACTGAACCCCTCGTTGCCTCTGATGTGTGTCCCATCGGTGCATGAATGTGATAAAGCTCTGATTAATCTTTGTATGGATCTAGTACAGTGCTCTATGAATGTAAAGAGCTTTGAGTATCTTGATAACATAGAAATGTTCTATATACTGTAAGTACAGTCATTTATCATTTATCCTACTTTCAGATAACATTTCACAACTTTTACATTTGCAGCTTTTCAGCTAGCCTTCTTCTTTTTTCTCTTTCTCTTCTTTTTCTTTATTTTTTCTATTTTTTTTCCTTTTTCTTTCTTATTCCTTTTTTCCCTTTTTTCTTTTCTTTTTCTCTTTTTTCCTTCTTTTTTCTTCCCCCCCTTTTTTCTTCTTTTTGTCTTTCTTTTTTCCCTCCCTTTTTTTTGCCTCTTTTTTTTTCTTATTTTTCCCCTCCCATTCTCACATTTGCAACTTTTAGCTTTCAGCTAACCTTCTACTTTTAGCATCAGCTAGCTTTTTGATATGTTTGACTTGTAGCAATTGTTGCTACTTTCAACTGTTTGCTTGTCTTTCACAATTTTTAGCTGTGTTCACATGTTATTACTTTTGAGCTAGTCTCATGCTACCTTTCATTTGTTTTTAGCTTTGCAAGTTTCAGTTTTTAGCTAATCTTTTGGTACTTTAAACTTTTACTCAGTTGTTTGGTACTTTTTAGCCTCAAACTGCTTTTGATTTTTAATTAGCCTGTTGTTACATTTCTGCTTTTAGCTATAGCTATTCTCTTGATACTTTCATCCAGCCTTTTGTTACGTTGGTGCTGTGTTATGTTGTTTGTGTCATATGCAGGTTAACACAGGGTCAACAGTGCAATGAAATGTTCAGGATGAGAAGAACTGATTAGACTTGCTAAAAACAAACAAGAAACACTAAAGAATGCAATAAGGGTACACAATAATGTACCAAAAAGTGAAAAAGAAATAAAATATTTAAACTACACAGGTTGTGTGACAGGTTATTGCACAGGTAGTAACATTGTGTTTAACTGAATTATGATGGTAAGGTACATACATGATACAGCCACATAGTGCAGCAGCAATAAACATATTAGTTGTCACAGACAATGTTATTGTCAGTTGTTCAGTATTATTATCAAGGGTTCAGTAATCTGACAGCTTGTGGATAATATCTGTCCTTTAGTCTTTTTGTATGCGATGACAGACTCCTGTATCGTCTGCCTGAGGGTAGTAGATGGAAGAGTCCTTGTGCTGGGTGGGTGTGGTCCTTAATGATGCTGCGTGCTTTACACAGACATCGGCTGTGGTAGATGTCCTGGATGGTGTGGAGACTGCTACCAGTGATGTCCTCTGCTGTTTGCACCACCCTCTCTAGTGCTTTCCAGCTCTGACTAGTGCAGTTCCCATACCACCCTGTGATGCAGCCTGTCAACAGGTTTTCAATTGTGCTCTTGTAAAAGTTAGTGAGGATGCTGGTGTTCGTACCAAACTTCTTTAGTCTTCTTAGGAAGTAGAGTCTTTGTCGAGCTTTCTTGACCACAGTGTCTGTGTGTAATGTCCAGGATAGATCTTCAGTAATGTGAACGCAGAGGAACTTGGAGCTGCTGACCTGCTCCACCTCAGCGTTGGCGGAGTGCTGGCCTCCACGCTGTTTCCTGAAGTCCACTATCATCTCCTTCATTTTGCTAACATTTAGAAAGAGGTTATTTTCCTGACACCAGCTGGTCAGTGGTTTCACCTCATCTCTGTAGGCACTCTCATCATTGTTGGTGATGAGGCCCAGGATGGTGGTGTCATCAGCATACTTGAGGATGACGTTAGAGCTGTGCTTGGTGGTACAGTCATGTGTAAATATAGAGTACCAGAGTGGACTGAGGACACAGCCCTGAGGTGTACCGGTGCTGAGAACCAGTATGGAGGAGCGGCGACTGCCGATTCTCACTGCCTGCGGTCTGTTGCTGAGGAAGTCCAGTATCCAGCAGCAGATAGACTCCTCCAGGCCATTTTAATGTTTTAACGTTAAGCTAGCATTTTCTCACTATTATGTAGCATTTTGCAACTTTTAACTAGCATTTTACTATTGTTGGCTTTTAGCTATCATTTAGTTTCTGTTGGCTTTTAGTGTTCAGTTTTGTTTAGTTTTTAGCTAGTCTTTAGATACTTTTAGAATAGTGTTTTGTTATTTTAAATTTAAGCTAGCAATTTTTTTATTTTTAGCTTTCCCTTAACAAAAAGAAGTACATTTGAAGTTTTTTTTGCCAGTTTACTTTAAGTTAAGTATAAGTATATCAAGTATACTACACACCATACTTGTAGTGTACTAGAAGTATACTGCTTTAATACATTTGTACTTGTTTGGACTAAATTGGGACATTTTTATACTATTTTTAAGTATATCAAATAAAGTTTATAAAAAATAAACTTTAAGTACACTTCCTCATTTTTAGTGTAAAATAAGTATACTTGTAGTACACTTAAATAAACTACTTTTTGCTAAGGGTTTACTTAGCATTTTGTTACTTTTGACTTTTAGCTATTGTTTACCGGTAGTTCTTATTGGCTTTTAGCTGGTGTTTTCTCCATTTAGCTATTAGCTAATGTTCTGCGTCTTTTGATTTTAATGCCTCAGATTTAGATTTTCAACATTTTCATTTAGCTCTTAGTGTTCCCTGTGCATTTTTTCAGAAAATGCAGCTCTTGTAGTTCCATCTGCTGTCATATTTGAGGCTTCAGTCACTGTGGTTTTGTCCAGAGTTCTGGAGAAACAATTACTCTGTATAGTGCTTCGGTCACATGGGTGTAGAACTGGGGCAGAAGGGTTTCTAAGGAAGGCACTGTTCCCATTGTAGTACAGCAGTATTCCCAGTGCTCCCATTCATGCCCTGATGCATTGTGTGTGTGTTTGTGTGCGTGTCTTAGGATCTACACGTGTCAGACTCTAACCATCCTGCCAACATGGACCGAGTGAGCAGGAATAAAGTGGCACACGAGCGTCAAACACACCAGGTCTTACAGGTGAGTCATTAAATTTAATGTTATGGGGCACTCATCATTCACATATGACACAGCTCACATTTACTCAGTTTTAGCTGATTTCAATAGCTGCAGCATCGGCTGTGAGTCAGCTGTCCATTTGGATTATTTTTTGGATATAATTTGGATTATTCCTAAATTTGACTTCAGCTTGTTAAACTGTTCAGGCATGTAAGTGTGATTTGATCAGTCTGTTTTGACATATTCGATGAATATCTTTTTCTAAACACACAAATGTTTTACCATGTTCAGGTGTTAACCTGGACTGATCATAAAAATTACAAAATTAAGCCACACTTAATAAAGTTTATGCCTCTCCATCAGATATAATAATATTATGTAAATTGATCTTTTAATGATTAGATAACGATGGTTTTCTTCTGACAGAGCACTCCTTTAGACCTGATTGAAACAGGCAAGTCCTTGAAAGTCCAGGCAGAGCGCCCCCACCTGGTGAGTTTGGGAAGTGGACGCCTGAGCACAGCCATCACTCTGCTGCCACTGTTGGAAGGTGAGGTGTTTGTTTGTTTGTTTGTTTGTTGGTAGGGGGCTGGGGGAATAGATGACTCCTGTACCTTTCCTTTATGGATTGGTATATTTAGAGCATCTTCTGATGATTTATGCAGTAAATAAAATTATTTAAACTAAAATAAATAGATATCAAAATGTTTTCCTGAATTGTGACTAACAGCACTGGATAAACAAACAAAACCATAATAATAAAAAAAAACAAAAAAAACCTGATGAAATGGAAAAACTGAGCCCAGCTCTAAAAATTGCTGAGATTTATAGAAACCAGTAGAAAACGTGTTTAATCTGCAGAAACATGCTGAATGTCTTTACTGAAGACACTGAAATCAAGTTACTAGCTAAAAGCTAAAAGTAGCAAAATGTCAGCTAAAACAGATTTTTTTCTTTGCTAAAACAGAAAATGAAGGCTAGCATACAGTACTGTAAGTAATGAAAGCCTAGTTAAAATATTGAAAGACTATTAACTAGGCTAAATGACTAGCTAGAAGGTAAAAATAATAAAAACCTAATTAAACGCTTATAAAGGATCAAAAGGCTAAAGCAGCAATTACCTAAAAGTATAAAGACTAGCTAGAGGCTAAAACTATAGTGTGCTTAGAAGCTGAATCCAATAAAAGGCCTGTTCAAAACCAAAAGTACTAAAAGGCTATAAAATAAAACAAGTAAATACAACTAGCTAAATGTATCAAAAGGCTAGATAAAAGCAGCAAGATATAAGCAAAAAATACAAGTAAAGGCAAGCTAAAAGTAGCTAAAGCTAAAACTAAAGTAGCAAAATAGCAGATAAAAGCTAAAAGTATCCAGAGACTAACTAAAAGCTAAGCAACAAGCAAGCTTACAATATTAAAAGGCTAAATGCTAAACGTTTTAAAAGGCAAGATAAAAGTAGCTAGATTTTAGCTAAGAGCTAAATTACAACAAAAGTAGCGAGTTCATATCTAAAAGCCAAAAGTATCAAAACTATAAACTAAAACTAGTGAAAGGCTTGCTAGAACCTAAAACTATTAAAAGTCTAGCTAAAAGTATAAAAAAAGCTAAAAGTAGTCAATCAGTAAATAAACACCAATAGTATTACAGGAAAAACAAAAATATAACAAGTTTCTTAAAATGATTTCGAGAACAGTGGTTTTGAATGAATTAACAAGATCTTAATGTAAATCAATGGGGAAAATATTTGTAAATAAAATATATATTTAGAAAAGTAAAAAAGTTACAAAACCAGAAGTCAGAGCACCGATCTCCTGAATGAGCCGAAAGTTTTTTATGAATGACTAAAATACCCCAAAGTATATATAAAAAAAAAAATAAGTATAGAAAAAAATATAAAAACAAAACAACAGGAAAGACATAGAGTGAATGTTGAATCAGCTTTTACACATTAATGCTGACGGCACATTAAAGAGACAGTTCGTACATTTGGATGTGGGGTTCTGTGGAAAGGTTACGAATAAATATCTTACCTGCTCTCAGAACAACCTCACATTAAAGAAACAGAAACGCTGATGGCTTTCAGCTAGTGTCCTGCTTCTTTTAGCATATTTATACTTTTATTTAACCTTTTGTATTTTTTAACCTTAAGCTAACATTGTGCTGGTTTTATGGACCATTTAGCCAATTTTTACTAGCATTTTCTTACGTTTGGCTTTTAGTTAGGAATTAGCCTCTATTGGCTTTTAGCTAGTCTTTTGATAATTTTATTATCTTTTTTTATTTTTAACTTCAAGCTTACTACTTTAATTTAGCACTGCTACTTTTAGTATTTAGCTAGTCACCGGCTAGTCTGTTAGCTTGTCTGTTACTTCTAAAGATCTGAAGCGCCCGTTTTCGGCTGTTCTGATGGGGTCCCCAAAAAACATTTTGTGAGTTCTTCACTTAACGGCACCTGCTCTGTGTGTTTTTACGCACCATGGCAGTGACTACCGTTTTAGGAGGGACTTCTAATCAGGACTTTTATTTATTTATTTTGGTGCGCAAAGGCTCTAAATATTCTTAGTGGGGAAAAAAAGCATGTGCACTCTAAAATATATAGATGCTTTCACAAACCTGAGCCGATTCTTTTTTTTTAGCAGATTATTGGCACAAGTTGTCCAGACTGATGACGTGACAACAACCGATCAGCCTCAAAGCTTGTTGTTGTTCTTCACACTGACACAGTTGCTGCTGCGCGCCTGTCTGCGAGCTGCTGGCGCCGTTTGTCTTGCAGAGGACATTAACGTCTCTGAGGCAGGGAGAGGGTGGGACAGTGGTGACCGTCTCCGTGCTGTCTTTTAGACAATAAATAGCACTTGTCTTCTTCTCTGAAAGTTGTGGAACGTAAACAGTAAGAAGCAAGCAGTATATCACCCCCGTCACTGAGGGATTTGAGTGAATGTTTTGTAGTTTTTGAGAGTGTCTTTCAGGACTGAACAAGTAAACCTTAATGTTTTTGGTGCCGCACATCAAAATGAAAGTCGATACCTCGTTTATTTTTCAAGTTTTCCAGCTCACAAGATGCACGGACGGACGGAGAGTGTTTCCAAGTCCCCTCCACTCTGCGGCGGGGCACAACTCCTCTACAGTCATATAAATTCCTCAAGTGCCGATTTGAGACTAACACCTGTTTCTTTTTAAAACTCCTACCCAGGTTGTGTTGTCCTCCACCCCATGTGGCCCTGACCTCTGAGGTCACATCTCCCAGACCTTAAAACACTTCCGGATTCCAGCCACTTTCCAGGAAACAATGAGGAAATTATTATTATTATTTTGTCTTTGCAGGAAGAACAACTCTGGGCAGCGATGGGACAGATATCCCCCTGCAGGGTCCAGGTGTCTCACCTCAGCACTGCTACATTGAGAACCAGGCAGGCAGCATCACCCTGCACCCGTGTGGAAACCAGTGCTCTGTGGACGGGCTCCCAGTCACCAAACCCCACCGCCTCACTCAAGGTAGCACCTTCAGAGATGAGCTGTTAAATTAGTGGAAACACTTTTTGGCTTTACAGAATCCCAGCAAGGCCCGGGTCCTTCCTGTGGCGTATTAACCATAAAACAGCTGAAAGAGTCCCCGCCCCCTTCAGCCCCCCTCTCCCTCAGAGCCAGCAGCTCCTGCAGAATGACATTTGAAGCCGGTGTGTGTGGAGACAGCAGCTGCTGGAGAAGGAGCACGCTTCAGGCCCCTTTTACAAGCAAGACGATAACGACGCTTTGACTGAACGAACGGAGGAAACTATTTCCAGGGGAAGGAAGTAGCGGCGCGTTGGACTCTAAAGGATTTCAATAAATGTTAGTTAAACCTTCGGCTGGAAACGAAACTTGAATCTCGGGCTAGAAATCAGGCGTTCTTGAAATGAGGTGAAATCATAAGAAGGTAATTTTATTTACTGATTAGACAAAAAACTCTTCTCCAAGTTGCTTCTGCTGTTCGAGGAGAAACAAGTCAAACGTCAACCAGCTGAACGAGAAGAACGCTGTTGTGGCCGTTTCATAGTTTTCCACATGCAGAGTCAGCAACCTGTCCGCCATAGTTTATATAAGATGTTTAAACTCTAAATGTGAATGAAGGCTGTCTGATTTAAATTCACAGTTTTATGCAGATCAGGTTTGGAAACAGCGTAAAAGTTCTAAGTAAACATGCTGAATGAGCTCTGCTTTGCTCGTATTTATGAACTAGTTCAACCTCAGCACTCGCAGCTAAATCATAAAACAAATGAATAAGAAGAGCTGCTTTTTAAAGATGAATAATAATAAACCAACGTGTTCGCAGGGTGCATGCTGTGTTTCGGTCAGTCTGCCTTTTTCCGCTTCAACCATCCCGAGGAGGCTCAGAGGATGAAGAGCATGCTGCCCGGTGGGAGTCTCAGACCACACACCACGAAGCCGCTCCCCTCAGGTAAACAACAAACAAAAACTAATAATCTAACTCCAATCCGAACATTTCCAATCATCCAGAAATACCTCTGTAACAACCGTGTCTGCAAGTGCTGCTCAGACTCCTCTGCAGCTATTTTGGGCAAAGCAAACGTTCTGGTCGGACAAAACACTTTCAGATTCCTTCTGTTGTAGTCGAGCTATTAAAACAGTTCACACTCGTGTTTAGTGGAGTCTGACTTCACAACTCAGCAGGAAACATATGTTTTACAGATTAAGGCAGATCTTTTCAAAAAGGCTTTTGTAAAATATTTAGATTTGTTTAATGTTTGTCTGGTTTGATGAGCTAAAGGCTAGTCTGAGCAGGGCCAAGACTGCCGGTTTGGAAAATCGCAGCGTGACCCCCCAAATAAATTGAAAGAGAAACTACAATTTTTATAATTTTAAGCAATAAGAAGAAAATAAAGCTTATACCCAGCATTTAAATATGGAAGTTATCACCTTTCAGACACCTCAGTGAAGACATGGATGATTTTTCTTGGGTTTTCTGCTCAAACCAAAATATTTCGGCTTCTTGTGGATGACAACAGTGATATTTCTAAACTGTTTACAGGAAGCTCTGATTATTAGGAACAAAAGATCTCGTTTCATTATTTCAGTGGCTTAAAAATTTATACCGAGACACACCACAATAAATCAACAGAATGAATCCAAACCGAACTAGAGACACTGCATTTCCTTCACAAATGCAGTGTGAATGCTTATTGTTGAAGAACTTGCTGAAAAACAGCTGAAATTAACTAAAAAACATGCTGAAATGGAAGAACAAGCCTAAATTAGCAGAAGAAATCAGAAAGAACACATCTTTGCTGAACTAGGTTTAAATAAGCAGAAATGAACACAAAAAATTGGAAATTAGCTAGAACAGCTGATATTACCAAAAAATAGCTGAAAAGTAGCTGAAAAGACTGAAGGAAGCTCAAACTACCAGAAGGAAGTGGAAAGAACTGAAATGAGCAAAAAAAAAAAAAAAAAAATGGAATTAGTTGAAAAAGCTAAAATAAGCATCAAAAGAGCTAAATAGTAGCTGAAAGAACAGACAAAGCTGAAACTAGCAGAAAAAAGCTGAAAGGAGCATAACAAGCTGAAATGAGCATAATGAAGATTAGACTGAAAGTAGCAGACATTACCATGAAAAACTTATCAGAAAACAGCTGAAATTTGTTTTTAAAAAGCTAGTTAGCTGAAAGGCTAGAACAAGCTTAAATTAGCAAAAGAAATCAGAACGATCAAGTTTGCCCAATTAGGCTGAAAGAACCATTAATAAGAACAAAAGGTGGAAATTATCTGAAAAATGCTTAAGTTAGCAAAAAAAAAAAAAAAACAGCTGAAAAATAACTAAAAAGGCAGAAAGAAGGTTAAATTACCAGAAGGAAGTAGAGAGAGTACATTTGTTGCTGAATTAGGCTGAAAAAAGTTGAAATGAGTGCAAAAATTGTTGAATTAGCTGAAAAAAATTAAAATTCACATAAAACAGCTGCTGAAATAACAGAAAAAGCTGAAACTTGCATAAATAAGCTGAAATTATCAGAAAGGAGTTAGAAGAAGCACAAAAATGTTTCAGTTAGCAGAAAGAATTAGAAAGGAGCAAAAAACAGCTGCAAAAACAGCTGAAAGTAGCTGAATAAAAGTGTAAATTTGCACAAGGAAGCTGATAGAAGCTGAAGCAGAACAAAATGTGAAAGGAGCAGTAAAAGGTTGTAAACACATCTAAAGATATGAAGGATGTAAAATTAGCTTAAAAGAGAAAAAAGTGTCAGAAAAGGATAAATATTTCAAAAAGCTAAAAGTCATAGCAGGATTGTCCTGAAAGAGCTGAACGTTCTGATATTATGATTTGTTGAAAACTGTGGAACGAGAAAGATGTTTGTAAACATCCAGAAGGAAAATGGATCATAGTGTGAATGAACATTCACACAACTAAAGTATCTTCATCGTGGTTCTGAACAACCTTCAGACTGAAGAAAACTGCACATATCTGATGTACGTTGCCAGTTTCCATCCATTATTCACCTGCAAAGGGAGCACATGAAAGAGATTCAGAGATTTTATTTACACGTTTCCATGGCAACACCCGAACTCTGCATGTCTCTCTGTGGCGTGATTAGTTTTTTCATGTGTATGGTTGCTTGTCAGACATTTAGCAGCCTGCTCTTATAGTTTATATAGTTTTATATTTTTTTTAAACTGAGAATAAGCTGTTGTTGTGAGTCACATGACGGCGTGACGAGGAAGATATGAATCTGTAAAGAATCTGTGATTCTTCTCTTAAAGATCGTTTTAATCTATGATTTCTAAATTTGGTCCTATCTCCTCACCTCTGGCCTGAATTATCTTTATTCTATCGTTACTAAACCTGTCGGGGTGCAGAAATAGCTCGTTCACAACTAATTATCAGTGGCCTACATTGTGATCTACATTTTCACTCGGCGTGGTGACCTCATTGTTATTTAGTTTTGTGTGTGCGCTCGTACAGTAGGAGTATTATGAGTCTGGCCCTCTGCCCAGTGTAACTGCTGTGGTATTTAGGAGCCATTTTTCTGTGACCTTATTAGTTTGGCTGTCCGTCCCTGAGCTGTAATGGCCGCCACACCCGTCCCATAGTGTTTCGCCCACTCTTTCCTGACCAAACCCTGATTCCATCTGCTGCGAATGAGCTACACAGCTACAGCTTTATTTTTAGCTGCTCTGTGGAGTTACACCAAAACTAAGCATTTGGAGACACCCCAGTTTAAAGTGGGCTCCTGAGGAACCTTTTATAGACCCCTTTTGTCCCGGAGCAGGCATGAAGGAGGCCGGCGGGGTAAATAAGACGCAGGGCTCTGATTGGCTCTTTGTTTCTCTGTGTTTTGACAACTGTTCCTCCTTTCTTTGTTCACCTGGGATGCTGTGAACAAGTGTTTCTGCGTCTCCCCCCTGCAGATCCCCGCGGCGTCCCAAATGGAAACCACGAGTCCTTCTCCAGCAGCAGCGACGCCAAACTCGGCAGCGTGGTAAAAAACCTGCAGGAGACCCTGGTGCTGAAGGGGTCCTCGTCGTCCTCGTCAGCGTTTGGTAAACAGCCCCTCCAGATGTCTCCTGCAGATGTGTTGAATGGAAGAAACAGCTCCACAAGTTCCCTCTACGACAACAGCTGCAGCGTCCCTCTGAGTCAGAGCAACAAAACCCCCACCGCACCAGTTCGGACCGCTCGGACCAGCCAAACCCCTGTTCCATATCCACGGTCATCGCTGTCCGTGGGTTTTATGGGGACTGGTGGGACTCAGAGGACCCAAGAAAGTCCAAAGCCTCTTAGACATATGATGGGCGAGGCCACCTCAAGCCCCAAACCACATGTCAGGGGGCCAGAAAACTCAAGCCTCAGTCACAAAACATCCTCCGTCAAGTTTTCCCCCGCAGCTCCATCCAGCCCTCGATTAAGGGGTCCCCCCCTCCAGAGGAGATCCCCCAGCCCAGTGAGGGAGCAGGGTCAGGTCCCTCAAAGGATGACTGGATCCACCAGCTCCAGCCTGGACTTGTCCTGCAGAGGGACTTTAGGATCTCCAGGGGCCCCTGAGAGTCCTCAGTGGCATCGAACACTTGCACCTCCTTCTAAAGCACCGTTTACACTCAGTCCACCGTCTCTCCACGGACTGGAGGAGGAGTCAGGGAGCAGGGTGCCACAGCTCGGCCCGGCATGTGCCATCACATCAGGCTCAGTATCTGCCCTGTCTCCTCTTCCCAGCCCTCACAGCCAAAGGAAGACCCCCTCCCTGAGTGTGAAAGGATCCCTCAGCAGGGAAGGGAATCTTGTGAAACCTTACACCCGGGAACGCAAAAACAGCATCTCCGAGATCAGCGATAACGAGGACGAGTTGCTGGAATACCACCGCTGGCAGCGGGAGGAGAGGCTGCGGGAGCAGGAAATGGAGAAACTGGTAGGAAATCAGTTTTACAGCTGATGTGATTAGATTTTAATTCTGTTTTACACTTATACTGCACAAAATATGAGTCTGGATTTGGATGTGTCTTGATTATTTGTTCTATTCTTAGGAATGATATCTAAGTTGCACACAGCTTGATGTTTAGATTGTGACAACACCGGACAATTCAACTCAGATTGTTTAAGAAACAGGATTAAAACTAAAAACTTAGCATTGCTTGAAGGAGAACAACGCCTGCTGACCTTCATGTCAGAGTTTTAAACTGAGACATCTAAAGATGAGAAATGACAAAGTTAGACCCGTTTTAGTCAAACTTTGAAAACAACACTATGTGCAGACTTACATATATTAGGCCTGTCGCAATAAATATCAAATCAATTAATCGCATGATGAAAGAAAATTATCAACCTAATTTTCATTTATCAGCTTTATCGTTTCTTCATGTCTCTCTCTTTCTACTGAAGACACCGGATGACAAAAGGCTCAACTCCCGTGTTCTTCACTGACCCCTCCCTTACTCTTTTCTCTTTAAAATCTGTTTTAACCGTCCAAAATCGTGTTTTTGGATCACTAAAAGCAGCTAAGCTGAGAAGCTAAGCTGAGAAGTTAAGCTAACGGGCCGACCTCAGGAAAAAACTTCCGTGTTGCCGAAGCTCCAAAATTCACAGTTGAAACCTGTGCCTTCATGTAAAAAGTTGTTTTTCTTTGCAAAAAGAAGCTGAAAACTTGTTTACTGATTTTTTTAAATTAAAAACTTTGTGTGACAAATGTTATGCTAAAGAGCTGAAACAACACAGAGCGTCCGCCATTTTGAGAACCGAAAAAAAGGAAGGAGAGACAGAGTCAGTGTTGAGGGTTATGGTGAAGGAGGAGAAGTTGTGGATCCTCACTGACTGTGGTCTGAAGTCTAGTACCCAGTTTCAAATGGAGGGGCTTAGTCCTAGTGTGGATAGTTTTTCCATCAGGGTTTGGGGGGATCATGGTGTTGAAGGCAGATGTGAAGTCCTCAAAGAGCATATGGACGTAAGAGTTTTTCTGCTACACGTGGTTGAGCGCAGTGTGGACCACAAAGAAGATGGCATCCTCTGTTGATCGGTTCTCACGGTATGCATACTGGTGAGGGTCCTCGTTGATGTTGACGGTTGTTTTGATGCGAGTCAGGGCCAGTTTTTTTAAGTATTTAGCAACTATCGGGGTGAGGGCCACTGACCGATAGTCATTCAGACCAGTCACTGTAGAGCTTTTTGGGACTGGGATGATGGTGGCAGTCTTCAGGCTGATGAGAACTGTCTCCAGGGTAAGTGAGGTGTTAGAGATGTCTGCCAGCACCTCGCAGAGCTGATCGGCACATTCTTTCAACACTTTTCTGGGGATGTTGTCTGGGCCAGTTGCCTTGTGTGGATTAATCCTCCTGAAAGTACTCCTTACTTCTGCTGAGGTCATGCTGAGATCCATCCGGTGGTGAAGTGAGTCTGGTGCTGGGTGGTCTGTTTGGGTTTTCAAAGCGTGCATAGAACATGTTGAGGGCATCAGGCATTGTTCGCTCCTTCCCTTATAATCTGTTATGCACCTAATGCCCCTCCACATGCTCCGAGGGTCTTGTGAGGTGAATTGACCCTCCATCCTCTGTGCATATGTGGCCTTGGTCCTCCTAATACCAGCAACCAGCTCTTTCCTTGTCCTTCTCAGCTCCTTTGAGTTTCCAGACCTGAAGGCAGTGTTCCTGGCTTCCAGCAGGGTGTGCACCTCTGCATTCAGCCAAGGTTTTCCATGTCACGTCAAGGGGCCTCCCTCCCATTTTTCTTAGAGACATGCTGCTCGCGCCCTCACTAGCCATCCAAACAGTCATATACTGCCATCCAGTGGTCAAAAAAGGTACTACGCACAAAAATTAACCAACATTTCTTCTTAAATTTTACAATAATTACTAATTATTGTCAAATTTCTAACAATATTATCGTTTATCACAATAATTTCTGAGACAATCAATTTCCCAGCAAAATTTGTTATCGTGACAGGCCTACATATTATCACAAAATCTCATGCAATCTGTTAGTGCTCAGATTAGAACATGTGTTGGGAGTGAATCACAGCTACTGCCACAGCACATTTTAGCTCAACATCTGCAAAACTGACTGAGTTAAAATCTTTATTGTCCATGTCGTGGAGCACAGAGGGAAATTGAAATACCCTCTGTCTGTGCGTCCTTCTTGTAAGCTGGATAACTTACAAAATGAATGAGGCGCCAACATCCATTTTGGTGTGGCTGCATGGTGTAAGAAGATCTTTCAAAAATTGGGTTTGACATGTCAAAATCCAAGATGGCCACCACCATATCTATATCCGTTTTTCGCGGACTTGCTCTATCGTGGTTTTTCAAATTTAAGATTGGACATGACACACAGTTGGCTGATAAATGGATGAGCCACACGATCGGCATGGATTTTTATTTAAAATAAATTATTTTAAATGATTTTGCACCTGTGTGCAGCCCACAGCTGAGGGATAACTTCGTCCTGCAGCTGATCAGCTGATCTCCATGCAGAGTGGAGACGTGGGCGTGTCCGAGAGTGCAGCCGAGACAGAGAGCTGAAATTATGACATTCTGTGCTCTTTTAGAGCGTTTAGAGTTTAGAAGCATTGTTTAGAATATTGCAAGCATGTGGGAAGGGTTTAAAATAACCTTCATTGACTATAAGAACATGAAATTAAAGAGCTTGGAATTGAAAGACGAGGTTAAAAATAAAAGCCCCTGAAATATGTCAAGTAGGTTTACAAAATACCGGTAAGTGGGGGAGCGGTGGCGCAGAGGTTAGAAGATGGGCCTGTGATTGGAAAGTCGCAGGTTGAACTCCCGGTACCGTCAACATCAAAATGGGGTGGAAAAGGTGAAACACCCGCACCTGCCTCCGCCCTCATTGGCCCCACTCTGGGCCCCTGAGCAAGGCCCTTAACCCCCACCATGTGCTCCCTAAACGTGTTTCTCTTGAAAATTAGTTCTCGTGACTCAATGAGACTACCTGTATAAATAAAGGGTAAAAGCAAAAAGTGTAACAAAATGAAACTTGATTATTAAATAAATGAAAAAGTAACTCTTGAAATAAATAAAAAAATAATCTTGGATAATAAACTAAACATTTCAATTTAAATGTTTTATTTCATCGGAACATTTATTTATTTAAAGGAATATTGATGAATAATTTCTAAATAACATTTTTTTAATGGATTTAATTTGGAATTAAATGGCTTTCCATAGTGAACAACCTTTTGTTAAAATCAGGTCTCTCTTGTAAATGAGTGCCCGAGGCTCATTGGGATTAACCTGTCTAAATAAAGGTTGAATGAGTGGGTGTGTAAATCTGGAAGCTGCTGAACTGAGTTGCTTTGTGGGAATAAATAAATGAAATGTTGGAATCTGAATCAAGTACCTGGGAGTCTGTGATGATGGAGCAAGAGAAGTGAGGTCTAAGATCCAAATGCACCTACTTGGACAATAAATCTTTATTTTTCTTGAATAAATTTCTATCAGTACACAAAGCTGACATATATAACAGGTGTTTCAGGCAGTTTAGCCAGGTGGAGGTCAGGGAAAGGCAGCGCACCGTCGCTGTCTATGTGCGTTTGCACCGTGTAGGCCTTGACCTCTGCACCCCAGTCCAGCACGGAGATGTGGATGATTCCCAATCTGGCCTGTTCGTGATGAGCTGCTCCGAGCTCCCTGCCCAAAAAGATGTCTTGGACCTGGGTTGAGGACACAGTCAAAGGGTCTTTCACTGAGTCTGCAACAAGATCCATATTGGATTCTTTGTATCTGTTCAAGTCAAAATAAAAGCCTTGCTCTTGGTCGGCATTGGAGCTCTTGGCTCGGTTTGCATCAGGACACTGATGAAACGGCCTCTCCGGCACGTTCAGCACTGTCAGTCTCTTCAAGTGCTGCACTGCAAAATACCTCTCCAGAGGAGAAAATGGCATCCGGGTGTCTCCAGGAGGACCACAGTGGATGAGTGTAAGGTGCATCACCTCTGAGTTGTTGAGGAGTTTCACCACATTGGATGGCGACGTGAACCAAACAGTTAGATTTCTCCTCTGCACGGGAGCAGAACGCGTCAGAATGTTTTCACACCGGCAGTCGGTCAGTGAGGAGGCGCTGCAGGGCTGCGGGTCCTGGCTGCAGGAGTAGTAGATGAAGCTGCTGTGGGTGACATAAGCCAAGCGCAGGTCAGCCTCCGACATGCAGAACAGCAGGCAGAGGAGCAGAGCATGTGGGCTGAAGGCAGCCATCCCAGCTGGACGAGCGGCTCAGGGAACCCGCTGAAGGATGGACATGAGTGTCAGACAGGCTGAAGCTGTGCTACGATTTTATTGTCCGAGCCTGTAGATAAAAGAGACACATTTAGACAAATGGTATGAATAGAAAATCACTGCAGACTCTGACTGAAGTAATGCAATAACCTTATATCCCCTCTCCAACTAATCATGTATTTGTGCTTCTGGATTTCATTACTAATGAGCATCTCTTCCATAGTTTGTATGCTTTTTTTATCCTTCCTCCACCCCTCAGCAGGTATTTGAAGCTGTGGAGCATTGTTTCTGTTATCAGTTGTTCCTGATGGACCAACCTGCTGCGTGCTAGTTCATTGTTGTTGAATTCCTCTGAACTGTTCCCTCATAGATGTTCTCTTTAACAGAGTCTGGTTGTTTGTTTTTTCTCAGGTAAACCGATTGTATCCCTCTCTTTTTACAGCCTCCTGGTGTTCCCTTAAAGGAAACAGTTGTCAGGAATGTGCAATCTGATATCTCGGTAGAGTATTTTGACAAGTGGACGACACACACACAAAATAAAAATGCAGCAAGCACCTGAGATGAGTTTTCAGCTCTTTGGGAATAAAGACGTTGGTGCCAAAATACAATTTTCTTTCAGCATCAGTCATATCCTTGCACGAAAAGCTAAACAAGACGTTTGTGTTCAGATCTTGGATGATTAAGGACAATCT